GGAACAGCAACATGCGCAGCAACAACAACAATTATTTCTGACTCGTCACGGGTCCCGCTGGGTCGCAATTTCGGTACTACATTTAGCATGTTCTAATTTACAACCGAGCGACGAATATCGCAGCACCGAAAGGAGCCCAACAGCAGCGCCAAATGTAAGCCAATCACGTAAGAGGCGGCACAGGCAGTGGGGTATGCATGGGAGGGGCGAGCGGGTCAACGTTACGTGCTTGTAAATTCAAATTCTTTTTTTTTTTTTGGCCGATCGAAGCGGTGGTTCGTTTTGCCAATCTCTTGGTCAGTTCTGCTTGTTGTCGTGGTTCATTGAGCCGCGTTCCGTGCATAAATTAATGAATTATGAAAAGGAGCTGGTTCTCAGCGGAGTGTGGCGGAGGCACATCACAGAATGGTGTAACAGGAGACCGCACACAATGTTCAACATGGTTTATTAATTCAATTTGTGCCTAAATTAACGTATAAGTGCTTAAATATTGAGTTACCGCCAACGTCACATCAACCGGACGCCAAAAGTCAACTTCCTTCTGTAGCTGCTTCTTGCCACAATTTTTGCATATGCCAATGGCAATGACTGCTGCATACTTGTTCGTGGTTTTTAGTGGGAAATAAGGAAGCATATACAATACCATGGATTATCAAAGTAAAAAGTGAAACAGTGGAATGGAACAGAGAAATATCAAAAGAAAGTGGAATGTACTTATGGTAAAGCATGATGAATACAACTTTATCTATCTATCAAAAAGATATAAAACCAAAATGGAACAGTGGAATGGAACAGAATATTGTGATGAGAAGGTGGAATGTGTTTAGAGCTGAGGAACGTAGAGCCCATATATGTGTATATTACATTACTCTATGTAATACATAATCCATTTGCAGTGTATGGCCTTGGGAATAAGGAATGAAACAGTTAAACTTAAGACTTAATTGCAGCGAAATTAAATTTTGAAACAATGAAAACAGAGTAACTTGGCACAGCTTAATGCATTAGAAGAAACAATAGGGTATGAAACATGAGAAACGAATCAAGAATGAAAGAAACACTTGTACACATGAAACAGAAAAGCACAGAACATAAGACGATAAATTTATAGAGAATTTGGAATAGCTAAAACTCTTCTAAGGAACAGTTAGAAATGGAGTATTAAATTTTGGAACAGCTGAAAAATGGAACAGTGCGTATTGTTTTTCCAGCCAGTAAGTGGGCTTAGTGCTCTATTATCAATCAAACATTGGCAGGTCGTTCGCTTGCATGTGTTAAGCCACCGGCTGGCGTCATTATGGATCCACCTTATCGCATCGGCACATGGACGCTATCATCGGCACATCTGGCATAGAAATTTGTGGGCTTAGCTAAGTCCGCCTACACCCCCATAAGCTTTGACTAATTGCCGAGTAAATTGAGGGTCGATAAAAGCGCCTCTTAACTTTAATTTATGGCGCCAAACCGGAGACTGATTCGCATTTTGGTCATGCAATCGACATTGGATAAAATTTAAACATTTTTTTGTGGTTGCTTTTTTTCAAAAATTATTTTTTATCGAGCAGTTTACGCATGGTAAATATGCAATTCATGCCGCAACATAGCCAAATTGCACAGTTGCGGCAAGTGACTGTTGGCGTTGTTGTAGCTCGTTTAGTTTGGGCGATTCAAGATTCGTATGGAAACAACAAGCATTTCGTCTAGACGTTTATGTCCGATTTGGCCTTAACTTGCAGTTTTTGGGGTTTTGAGGTCTTCTAGAAGCGAGCAACAAATTTTCTTGATTGTGCAAAATAAGAACTCTTGAGTTTTAATTTATCTATGCTTATAGATGCTGATAAGATATGTTGCAAGGGCTTTTAAGGTGGTTTTAGCAGCGTCATGAGTTAGTTCAGGTGAAGCCAAGCTTTTGCTTAAGCCATTCTACAGCTGCCCTTCTTAGAAGTTTCCAACGTAATTATGCTTATATCCTCCATCAAAATAGTGACTTTATAACCTACATCTATAACCTATTAAGTTTGTTGTTTTTTCTTCGTCTTAAACCATTATTTTTGGCCATTAGTTGGTATCGCTTGGCCACGAATTAATTAACTAGTTAGCGCCATGTTTGTGTTGCGCTATCTTGAGACAGGCGGCAACCCTGACATCTGCCAAGCCCACCCAAAAGCCAAAAACCAAACCAAAAACTGAGAAGCGGGCGACACTCACTTAGCATTTGATTCATGGTCCTACCGTGCCAGCCAATCAGCAAATCATTAACAACTAATTAAATTATATAAAACAGCTATTAATTAAGCGGCACAGAACGAGGTCTAGCTGCGATTCTAGTGGAGTTGCCTTTCACTTAGCTGGCAGCGCAAGGAACGATACGAAACGGAATGAAACGATTGCAAATAATGACAAGAACTTTGCGCTAAACTTTTGCACTTTGACACCGGTTGGTAACCCCCAGGACCAGGTGGTGGCACGGCACTGCACCCACAATTGGCACGCTTTATGCGGCGGCAGTTGTAAATATTTAATAACTACATTAATAACAGCCGCAATGACAATGACAACAACAGCAATGGCAACAGCGGCGAGCAGCAACAACTTTAATAACACGCGCGCTCCGTTTGGTGATTGCAATTTGCCAAGCAATAAAAACTACCGTTTTGGCCACGTTTGCCAATGGTATGAATTGAATGAATGTCATTAATTTGACAACAGCAACCGTTAAATCAGCAATTCAATCACCAACAACAACCCAACAAACATAGCAGGCGAATGGCGACAAAAAATACGGTTCTCGATTCTCAATTCTCGGTTTTTGGTTCGGCTCGGGCTTTTCGGTCTGGCGGCGTGAGTCTTAAATTACCAACCTTGCCACAATTTTCAATGCGCATTCGCATTCGAATTTGTTTGCAGTAATTGGCCAGCAAAACTGGGAACCCGGACAACGACTGACGACTGCTTGCTGCACCCATCAGCAACAGTTGCTGCTGCGGCTGCACCACCCAAGCATTCATCGTTCGCCTTTTGCCTTTCAACTTCAGTTACAGGTGTCTCGCGTTTTGCTGATGGTCTGGTCTGAGCCTGGTTCTGTGCCGCGTTGCTGCCGTGTCAATGACAGTTCAATGTGCTCGCGATTTGTTGCTGTTGCTGCTGTTTGTTGTGCGCTGGCAACAGTTGTCGCACATGCAAATCGTGACTGTTGCCCAACCGACGTCCATCACAAGTTGCCAAACAAACTCTACCAGTCAGTCACAGGCAGTCAGTCAGTTCCAAGCTGCGTTTATGCAGTGCAGCTTATTACGATATCTTGGTTTGGCAAAATGTGTGTAAGGCTTGAAATATTAATGAATCAGATTCCAGTTGGCGAGATTCAACAGGTGTGCATTGGCCAGGGACTTCAAAATGGGCAGTACTTAAAATATATAAAAGTTGACTCTATCTGTCTCTCTCTCTCTTTCTTCCTCGCTCTGTCCACTTCCTTTCTCTCTTCTTTCAATAGACTTAAGTAAAGTTAACTTTGCTTATTTCAGTTTCTGTTTTGTCACCATCTCAGTCTTATCAATGAGTATAGGAAATCGTTGAACTATATCTCAATAAATCAGTTCATTAACTGCACGGGGCATAAACGCACTTGCAGACCATTTCAGTTAATCAGTTAGTGCTTGGCTCTGTAATTTTTCTTACTCTGTTTTTTTTCGGGTAGTTGAAATGCGAGTGATTTGCTTAAGACATTTTGATTGATTATTTCCACTTTTTTTTTGCTTGAGCTTGCGCCAAAGCGACGACAAAACTGCGACTGCCCAGTTCGAAGCTGAAAGGTGGAACGCCTGCGCCTCCACAAGCACAACGCTTCCTCGAGTTGTCCATGTCAAAATTGGTGTCTGACTCTGTGGCCACCAAGGCAGCAGGCGAACGCCTTTTTCGGCCAAGTCATGCGCAGAAAAGTCGTTCGCTTTTATTAATTATTTTGACCCAGAAATTGCCGTTGTTCGATTCGTGTGTGTGTTAAGTATTAGGTATCGGAGACAAAGTAAGCGAATCTGTGCTTGGGATCGGCGCGCGTTTGTTGTCAGTTAAATTTACCACCTGTGATGAATAACGTTACATTTTGTTGATTGTTTTCATTTGTTGTTGTAGAGCGTGATTTATCGTATTTATGCAGTACCAGCGGAATCGAGCATCAGAATCATTTAACGTAACGTAACGTTCGCTCGGCCATGCCCACATCAAGTTGATTACTCAGGTGCGTGTCTCCCTCTCTGTCTACGCTCTCTCTCTTATACACTTGCTTTGTTTTTATTTATATATGAGGGCCGTGTACCGTTAATTAATTTGCAAGTTGTTATTATTTTTGTTGTTGTTTTGTTGTTGGTTTCAATTTGTTAACTAATGCGCGAGTGTTCAGTTTTTGGGGTCAGTTCAAGTTTAGCTTTGCGGGCGAATGATGAAATCTTTAAATTGTAATTAAACATGGCTAAGAAGGTTAAGATTATGATTTCCTTTTTTGTTTACAAATAATATAGACTGCATAATGATTCGAATAAACAAGTATTAAATGTTTTGCTTACTGCAACATTGACTTGAGTCTTAACACTGATGGATAAGCAACAACTTTTTTCTGTTGCCAAAGTTGAAATACATGAGTCTCTAGTCTCGACCAATCGTATCATATTTCGCATAGATATCGTACTCAACTAATATGATCTCTAACTTATTGGCACACACTTTATTAATATTATTAATTATTAATAAAATTGATTGTATTATATTAAAATCCAATTGATGTACGTGAATTAAAGATGAGCTTTTTTATTTTGTCAAATGTGCTTACAGTAAATGTGCAATTGTCCATTGTTAATAAAAACCGAGTATTTGACAAAATTTAACATTAAATTTGATGAGACTCCGTATCAAAAATTAACGCAAATTTATGAACATGCAAAATGCAATTGATGAGTCGAATTTTATAGTCTTGAATGGGAAAAGAAATTTCGTATGCATAATAAACTAATAAATGTTGACTTCTATGAGCGTTCACTTCCGTGGTTTTGTGGCCAAACGCAGCTTGGAAAAGTTGGGCATTGATCGGGTTGACGTATCAATGGTGGGTGTTTCCGGAATTACGGTAATCCTGGATGAAGGAGGCGCACGCGGTAAATTAGAGGCGGTGGAATGTGTTTGCCTTAACGCTACCTCATTCGGTACATTGGTACCGGTCTTCGGTCGTCTAAAGATTGGTGTATTCTTTAGCTCTTTCGATATCTCCTCAGCCGCGGGCATAATTGCTGGTGGGTCCCGGCGCATTCGAGGTGATGGCGCAATGGGATTGACGCCATGTGAGCTGATGCTACGACTTAGTGCCTCAGCCTGTTGCTGTGTCTCCAGATTCGCGTCGCGCATCAGCAGGGAAAGGCGTTCGCGATTTTCGCGCTCCTGTATCAGCTGATTGCGCTGGCGACGGCGTATCTGTTCAAATTCATGCCAAAAGGTCTGGGTTATCTGGTGCGAATTGCGATTTAGTTCGCGTCGCAGAACCTGCATTACGTGTGCATCACGAGGTAATTCATTTTTTGTGGCTCGTTTAGACATGGTTCTAGGTAAGTCGAAAATTTTGACGATATGTAGAGAACACAACTTGAAAATTGGACACAGTATTTGACAGTGGAGTCTACGCTGACCTGACGTTTGTGTCTGTGGCCATTTGATCGATGCGAGTTTTCTAATTGCGCCGCCAACTTTCTTCTTTAATTGTGGCGAGAAAAATGAGGCCCGTATCGAAATGGCATGAAAAGCACGGCTCATAAGAACAACAACAGCAAATCAAACAACACCAACAACAGACGTCACTCGAGGAGATCGAGAGAAATTGTTTTCAATATTGTATGTAAAATGAATGTATTTATTCTGTTGTATATGCAGTCAATCAATCATGCGATAGAAGCTTAAATACTTGGCCCAATTGGGCCTTGGCCAAACAATGGGCCAACGTTTGTCTTTCGATATAATCGCAGCAGTCGCAGCTGAGCGGCAGCAGCCGCCTCATCCACTCCATTTAGTTGAAATGAAAACAAAATTGCCAGCAGCGCCGCCTCCTTTTTGTTTCCTGGCCAAGACGCCCCGCTGTGCACTTGTCGAAGCCAAAAGTTCAACGATTGCCGCCGACTGTTTTAAATGCGGCTACCTAACCGAGTTGCAGGCGCAGGCACAAGCCGAATTGGAACCGACTATGCGACTCGCGACTCACAATTTATCCTTTATGGCTTTTGTTTCTGCAGAAGTGAAAACAAAAGATTGTCATCGAGACCAGAGACTCAGCTTTTTTCATTGCTCTTTCGTTTTTGCATAAGATCAGCAGCTCCTTGATAGTATATACACAAATATTTATATATATATATTTGTGTGTAGTAATATATATATATATATATATATATATACATGATATGACTGATCGCCCTAATTGGGTGAAAGTGCTTAGAAAGTGTGACAGTGGTCGAAAGCACACTCATCAATGCGATACCCCTGTCAAATCAATATCTATGGCCTTTACCTATACCTGTAGCTATATAACATACATCACCCGCATATATAGGCATCGTCAGCAATCAGCTAGCAAAACGACTACAAAGCTCCAGTCCGTCCGCGCATCTGTCTGTGAGATATTCCCAGGCTGGACCAGGCAAGAAAACTAGAACTCAAAATCATACATCACAAGCAATTACCGACTAAAATGCGGCAGAGTAAGCTTCGACAACGACTAAGGCAAGCGACTAACCTTGGCCGCTAGTGAGGAAAATAGCAACAAAAAACCGAATAAAATACAAATATATATATACATATATATGTATGTATATATATAAAAGAGTAGGCTGCTGTTATTATTGTTGTTGTTCATACTCTTTGATAGTTACCAGGCATATCGATAAACAGACAATTCTAGAAGTAAGCGTGCTGCTAGGTTTCCATTTAGAACAAGAAATGTTTGCATGAAATACTGAAATTTATTGTATGAGTGGCTATAGGTCTAAGTAAGCTGTATAGTTTGAGTTTTAAGTATTAACTTAATAATTCCAGTTCGTTGCTTAAGTCTTTTGTGACACTTTTTTTTATTCGACATTTAAGTGGAAACTCATTTTGCTATGCAAACATAACTTATTATATGAAACGACGAATAGCTATTAGAGAATGTACAAAAGTATTAAGACAAAAGACTTAGGCAACGAACTGAAATTAATTTCAACAGCCCTGAAATGATAAGCACAATATTTAAAACTGCAAGCACTTCAAAATATATTTGCTAACTTATACTTAGAAATACATATTTAAATGTACGCTATTCAGTGGAATGAAGCACATTTCACTGGCAAAGTTTTCTAAGTTTTTGTGATAACAAATTCAATTTTTAAAAAATTTTAAGCATAAATTGAAAATTTTTAGAGTATGCCAAATTCGGGTCGTTTGCTTGGCAGCCTTTGCAACTTGTTGCTGTTCTGTTGGGATGTTGTGTATGCCGCGCATGCATCATCATACCATCATCCCATTATCACATACCACAAGCCAAGCCAAGCCGAGCCAAGCTAAGGCAAGGCTGCCTGGTGGTGCTGTTGTTGTTAGTGATGGTGGTGCTGCTGCTCCTCCTTTGGCTGACCGACTGCGGCACTTGAATGCTCGGCATGAAATAAATCGCGTGTTTATTGTGCCAACGGCGATCGCTTCAATGTTGCACATGAAAATTGAACGCAATAGAATGCCACTAATCGATCGGTCCGAGTCTGAGCGCTCTCTGATGCCGCCAGCCAGCTAGCCAGCTAGCCAGCAAAATGAAATGTTTCAAGTTCAAATGCAAGGTGCGGAGCCGGCCAAGTAAGCAAAAGAGAGAGAGAAAGAGAGGGAGTGAAAAGGAGTGCCAGACTGTGTGGACGGATCGGACGGACAACTGTTTTGGCAGCGACTGGCGCAAGCAATCTCAAAATAATCTAAACGATTTGGCGAAAATCACGTTGCCGTCGCCATCATCGGCGCGGCTGCGGCTGCGGCATCCACCTGTTACGCCGAGCTCATTTTTAATGCCTGCCTCCGCTGCCCCCACAGCGAAATGAAGGCCAAGGCGGGTCTGGAGCAACTGCGACGGCGGCATTGAGAGCAAATTGCAAAAGCCAAATTCAACGAATGCCGGCGCACAGTTTGGCATTAATAATGAAGCGCAATCAACTGACGGCCGCCGGCCGTTGGATGGCTCCAACAGCCAGCTTGAATGGCTGACTGGCTGACTGCCGGACTGACTGACTGAATGACTGAGTGTATGGCCAGGTGAGGGTGCCTTGATATGTAGCATTGGCATTGGCATTGCACAGATTAAGCATTTTTCCAACACAATGCATAATTTCTCGCTGCTGGGCTCGTTATGTTGCACTATGTGGATGCTGTTGTTGCTGCTGCTGATGTTGATGTTGTTGCTGTTGTTGTTGTTCTGGGTCGATTGGTGTTATTCTAAACGGCTTTTAGACAAAGCATCAGTGCAATCGCCCTGCTCGCCGTTGCCCATTTGCCCATTGCCCGCTGCTCACGCTGCCAATCAATCAATCACGTCGAGAGCTGAACCGAGTCGCCTAGTCATCTGAGCATCTGCCGACGCCATCAACGTACCCGGAGCGCGCTCTCTGGTCAAGTGTAATGGTTTTGTCATGATGCAGCATTTAAGCTGCCGCCGCTGATTGATGCGGCGTTCGTTCCACAAGAGAGTGCCAGTTAGGAATTTCACACCACCAAACAACACCAGCACCACCAACACCACCAGCAGCACCACAAATACACCAGTAATCTATGGAAATTTTTTTGTTAGCCACTTGTCAGTCAGTCGCATTTTCTATACATTCAATTTTCTACAAGCGTAGCATAATCAAGTTCGCTGCCTAAGTCTTTCGATTGATATTGAGTACATGGTAAGATTTTATTCCATCAATTATTAAAATGTTTCTTTTTTTGTGCAGATTTTTTCTTTTAGCTTAAGCTTTTTCTTAAACATTCGAGTTATGATTTTTTTTCATATGTATGTTACCAACGGTTTATAGCTCTTACGTATGCTTGATGTCCATGAAGTTTAGCCAACGAATGTATTGACATCGAGCTGAAATACGGAATGCCACCTGCAGGGCGGTATATCGAATCAACGAAATCAAAGCGCAATTAATTGACGACAATTGTGTGGCAAGTGGCCAAATTGTGTGGCAACATCAAAATCAGGCACAACGGCAACTGAAACAGCCGTAACAACGGCAAACGTCAATTGTCTAATCAACAAATTTGGTCAATAAATCGTAATTAATTAACGTTTGCCGTTGCGCTTTGGTTGGACAGTTGCAGCTCTCAATTGAAAGAGTTTTCAATTCCGAAAAACATTCAAATGTGTGGCAAATGCAACAAATGTGTTGTGCCACAGAAACAGAAACAAAACCAAAAAAAAAAAACTCGAGCAAATATTCGTGAATTGCGACTAATTTTTAGTGCAGCGAAAAACGTTAACAAAAATATTGGTAACAGCTAATCAGGCGCATATACGCCCAAAAAAAAAATGTATATATATATATAGGTGTGCCTGGCAGGTGGTCATACTGTGTAGCTGTTGTTATTGTTGCTGTTGTTGTTTGTTGTTGATAACATCGTTGCAATGTGTTTGTTGTCAAAAAAATGACTTGCAATCCACGAACTAACTTTTCTATCCCATTGCAATCAAAAGACTTAGGCAACGAACTTGCCGCATGCTGCTGTTTTTTTGAAAGTTAACAATTTGGTTCGGACCTGTCTGCAAATAGAACGAATCGGAACTTGTGAATGCGTGACCCGTAGCATATGTGGCTGGGATTTTATTAAATTCCAGGTATACCCTGCCTTAGAATGTTTATCCTTAGCATATCTCTAGAATAGTCTATAATAATATATATAAAATTCGTTTTCCTGCGAATCTGTTGAGCTGAAAGGATTGAGTCAGGCATTTCCGTTGAACGATCAATAGCTCATCGTCGGCAGCTGCCTTGGCTTAAATCATACTCTGCAATTAGCTGTAAAGAACTTTTAATTAATAATGCTTAATACTCAGTGGTTAATGCCTAATGCTTAATGCTCATGATATATGTCTGTACTGACATCGAACTCTACTGTGGCCAGATCAAAGGCGCACCAAACCGCAGCCGCAACTTGGCAGTTAATCAAATTAATTGCTTAGAAAATCAACATGTTGATTTGAGCCGTCAGTGAAAAAAAAAAACGAAAAAAGAGAAACAGGCGAATCAAAATCAAAATAAAGAGGCAAACAATGACAAATAACGAATTATGGAATAGATACGACCATTATATGCATATTCAAGGCCCTGCTAACCCACAATGGGAATGTGCAACAGTTTTTATTTTGTTTTTTGGTCTTTTTGTTTCTTTTGCTTTTGAGTTTTTGTATATTTTTTTTTGTTGCTGCGTGTTTATATTCTTGGAAGCGCATTATTTAACCGCAGCACTGAACTAAAAACGAAAATTGGCCAAAAACGAGGCATATAAATCACCAAAACACACACAGCACACACATACGGCTACAGATACAGCTACAGCGCTTTTTGGGGTAGAATCATTGACAGCGCGCCGGAAGATTTCATTGTTTCCCAATGGGGCCCAAACGGCGTCGCCGACGATGGCGACTTCTCGGTATTTTATTAAG